TAGAACACCAAAGTCTAACACACTCACCAGCACATAGACAAGCGCACACAAAAGCATACAGACAGATGTTGCAGCTGGAGCCAAACGCCCCAAACCCTCCTCTGAGACCCCCTCAAGCCCCTGAACCCCAAGGACTCTGAACCCCTAGCGACGTTAGACCCTGAAGGGTTTAGGGTTTCGGGTTTAGGTGTTTTAGGGGCTTTGGGGTTTAGGGGTTTAGGGTTCTGAAACCTCCAAACCCCCACAGCCCCTGAACCCTAAACCCCTACAACCGTCAAGCCCTGTAGAACCCGTCTAGAATTCTTTCTGAACCTTGAAACGGTTTAGGGTTTAGGGTTTACAGAGAACCCTAATAAGGCTGCCGAAGGACGGAGCGAAGTTCATCTCAGCTTGACCTGCCCAGCTCGTTGCAGGAAATTCGGGCTGAAGGTTCTGGCTTAGATCTTAATTAGCCCTAAACCCTAAACCCTAAACCTTTAAACCCTAAACCCTAAACCCCAAACCCTAAACCCAGCTGCTTTGGGTTTAGCGTTCAGGGTTTCGGCCCGCATAGGACCACTGCCCTTGGAAAGCGCTTGAAGCGCTAGGGCCTTAATTGTGCTTAGTGTAGGGGCCTTACTAATTAGAATAGGGTTTAGGGCTTAGGGTTTAGGGATTAGGGTTTGGTGTTTGGGGTACATTGTACTATAATTCTCCGAAGCCCTGTCTTAATTTCTAAGGCCCCTGCATTAGTGCTTTCAATCTTAGTGGGTTTAAGATGGTCCAATCGTTGGGGGGTGAGAAAGAACTAGGGAGTAGGGCTATAAGACTTTCGGGTTTAGGGTTTAGGGTTTTAGTTTTAGGGTTTATGGTTTAGGGTTTAAGATTTTTAGGGCCTTTTTGGCTTCGGACTGCAACCGATGCTTAGGATTGGGGGATGTGGGTCTAGTGGTCACAGACTGTTCGCACGGTTTAGGGCTGCAGGCGTCAGGTCATCCATCCTTAGATTCTGAAGTTCCCTAGACCCTAAACCCTAAACCCTAAATCTGAAGGGCCCTGGTGCTGGTAGACATTCACTAAACCGTAGAATCCTTACAAAGCCCTGGACGGTTTAGGGTTTAGGGTTTAGGGTGGACCCTAATCCCTACGTAAAACCAACCGTAAACCCAAACCCCTAAACCCGAGCCCCTAAACCCTATGCACCAAAAAGCTCTAAGACCTAAACGCTGTAAAACCAACCCTAGGCCGTAAACAAAAAGCTCTAACCCCGAAGCCCTGACCTCTAAACCCCAAATAATATCCTATATACAACCCTAGCCCCCCGAGGTACCTACTATATAGGGCCCTAGGGGCTCTAGTACCCTATATAGTAGGTACCTTGCGGGTTAGGGCAACCAACCCTCAGAAAACAGAAACCCCCAAGCCTTCTCGGGACATGGCGTCCGTCAGATGCTGTTGGAGCCTCGGAGGCGGCGGGAAAAAGACAGGGTCTAGGGTTGAGGGTTTAGGGTTCAGCTGCTCCGACTAACTGGGTTACAAATCCTCAAGACCAATACCCACCCGCCCGAAGAATCCCCCCAATATCAGGAATTAAACTATTTATAATGCCACTTCGTGTGTCATTCTCAGGTATGTTTCCTCACATGGTACCATCAACGTCCCCTAAGCTATAGACCACAAAAATGACACATCCCAGCCCACCCTCAGACCACCACTAAACCACAAGCCTGGAGCCTTAGGACCGGAACCATGCCGAAGCCTGGAACCCGAAGCCTTAAACCTGATCCCTTAGGCCTCATGTGGGGACCTTAATAATTAGAATGGGGTTTAGGGTTTAGGGTTTAGGGTTTAGGGTTTAGGGTTTAGGGACCTTAATAATTAGAATGGGGTTTGGGGGTAGATTATACTATAGAAATAAAACCCCCCCAAATGGTGTCGGGAAACGATTAAGGCCCTTCCATTACGCCTGAACCCTACGGCTTACACCTAGAACCCCTAAGCCGTAAACCTGAACCCTAACAAAAAGCCGAAACCTGGAACCCCGAGCCATAAACCTGTTTGGGGTTTAGGGTTTAGAGTTTAGGGTTTGGGGTTTGGGGAGCCCGAAGCCGTGAACCTGAACCTGGAACCCTAATGTAGGGGCCTTGATAATTAGCAAAAAGATTTTGGAGCCCCTTTCTAGCATAGTCATAATAAGGAACCCCCCCAAAAGAGAATTGGTAATTAAGGCCCCTACATGAAGCCCTAAACGCCGCCCAGGGCCCTAAATCCCAAAACCCCAAGGGGCCAGCCCAGAGCCCTAAACCGAAAGCCCTAAGCCTAAGGCTAGCCCAGAGCCCGACGCCTTGATCCCGAAGGCTCTAAGGCGAGGAGCAGTTTCGAGGGATTCCGACCCTCTTCGAAGAGAGCCTCCAACTTTTCGAGGGAGTCACCTCAGTCGGGAGGTCTCTGGGAACCCGGCCACTGCAAGAGTTGCAAAGAGAGACGGCCCAGACTTCCAATATCCCTTAAAGAAGGAATATACCTCAAATTATAGTAGGATCCCTACCCTAAACCCTAAGCCCTAATATGATTTAAAGCATATTCCTTAATTAAGGGATGTTGGAAGGTCCAGTGGGTTGTTGTAGGGGGTCCTGTAGCGGTTCATAGGGCTTCACTACAGCACGCATTCCACATCTCAAACGTTTCAAGTTGTTTCGCTTGGGCTTGAGGTTTAAAGGCTTGCCGTTTCAGTTGAGGGCTAGGATTTAAAGCTATTGTGGGTTTAGGGCTTAGGGTTTAGGCTTAGGGTTTAGGGTTTAGGGTTTAGGGTTCAGAAAACGCCACACCTGTTTGCACTTTCTGCGAAGTTAAGATTCACCCCAACCAGCGCCCTGCGCGCCTTGGGCCACAGTCTGCAATTGAGTGCGTAGGGTCTGTCTAGTATGTCTTCCCTAGCCCCGACACTCTATGTCAGTTTAGGCACAGCGAAATGTAGGGTTCGCAAACACACAAAATCCCTGAGAGCCGGAGATGGAGGAGAGTTCGGGCTATGTTGCATTATGATTATGGTGGTGCACATATATGTGTGAACCCTTAGGCATAAATAGTGTTGGTCAGTAAAATTAGGCCCCCATATCATCAACCCAGTCTTTACTCAACCAGGATCAACCCCAAGTCTTGCTAGCTCTGGGTCCCCGGTGACGGCAGAAAGCCTGAAGCCTTAAAAGGTTTAGGGTTTAGAGTTTAAGACCACCAGGAGCCCTGGCAGCCCCGTCCCCGAACACCGCATGCATTCAACAGAGCTTCGGCTCCCTCGGAGCCTCAGGGCGTAAAAGCTTGCAAACCCTACAAAGCCTCCCTCAACCCCAAAACCCCAAAAGCCATGGACACGTGCAAGCCCTGTGAAACAGGACAAGCACCTATAAACAGGCCTATCAAACACCATCAAGGCCAAAACGAACAGAAGCCATGAACACCTACAAGACGGTAGCACACTCCGACACTTTTCGATAAAACACCGTAGATTAAAGCCCTAAATCAAGCAAAAGCAAAGCCTTTCGTGAGACCCAAGCCCAAGCCACCCTAAACCTTAAATCCTGAACCTGAACCCTAAACCCAGGACCATAGAACTGAAAGCATACGGCACAATTACTCCAAAGCCCCAAACCCTAAACTCCTAGGTAGAACCGTTATAGAACCCTAGTAGCACCCATAAATAAACCCTAGGGTGCTTGAGCTGCCAAGAAACCCAGGCTCGCCTTAGGCGAAGGGCCTCCCCTGCCCATGCATTCCACAACTTACTTTAGGCTCATAATACCCTATGGTGAACCCCCTTTTTTGGGGGGGTACCTGCTTCTCTGCTTCGGACCTAGGAGTGTATAGCTTAGGATGGTTCAGGGTTGCACGGTTTGCGTAGGGTTTAGGATTGAAGTTGTGGTGGACTTTCGCTCTCGCACGATCACGACACTCCCGCCCAAGTGCCCTTAGACTGTGGGACCTTGCGTTTAAACCCTAAACCCTAAACCCTAAACCCTAAACCGTGCTTTTTAAGGTATCATTTTGCCGATTTTGCCTTTATGGTTGTGAGGCTCGGGGTCTACGTCTTGGAGTTGAGGTTTTCGTTTAGAAGCCCGTTTAATTACCCATGTGTGTGTACACATATATGTATAAATGCATCTATATATATATATATACATATATATATATATGTATACAACTATTTATGCGCTTCCAAGGGGATCCCCTCGATGAATCTTGAAAAAGACAGCATGAAATCCATCGTGGCCGGTTGGGTGCCATTGAGGCCGCATTTACATTGAGGTGACATAACCCTCAAACTACACACCTCAAGCCAACACCCCGAAAGACCACATGCCTCTTTGATGGAGGTGTCACTGGCATCGGCGAAATTGGTGAATCTGCCCTTGGCCGTTTGGAGCTTTTTTGGGTGGAGGAACGATGGCTTTGTGTAGGAGCCTAAAGAACTAGTAATAATGTTCCTCAGGGCTCCGATAACAAACATGCTACAATAGACAGACAGGCCTTATTCTAGTCATATTAAGGCCCCCACATCATGTACTGCTTCTCCCAGTAAGAACACTGCAGAAGGCCCGGATATCAGTTCTACTGTCCTACCAGGAGCCACTCGGGACCCTAAGCCCTAAACCCTAAACTGGTAGGTTGAACTACGACTGTCAACTCAAGGACTAAAGTACATGACTTATGTCTCCGCATTTCTGAACTTCCAACAGCAACTGTTAATGGAGGGGAGGACATGGATCCTTAGATAAACCCCCGCCCCCGAGACTAACGGGTTTAGGGCACGGTATAGGGTTTAGGCCAAGGTTTCGAGTTGAGGGTTTAGGAAGGATACTGTCCACTTCGGGGGCTGCTTATGTCGGACTATTCCAGCAAAGGCAAACCTCTACAAACAAATCACAGTACAGGGTACCCTGTGAAGACAAAGCAGCTCAGTGAGTGGTACCCTATGAAAAGCCAAAGTAACTCGTAAGCGCTTGATATAGGCATCGGGAAAATGAATTAAGCTCCCTTATTGCCGTCCCCGTGCAATTTCAATTCAGGTAGTATAACATACCCCACCAAAGTGTTGTTGGATATCATTTTGGCCGCTCTTGCAAAACCCTGTAGCAGAAAACCTACAAGACGTCGTGGAGCCTTTCGCAGAAAATCCTATGACTTTATTAATCATTCTGTTGAGGCCCGTGTGTTACTGTGGCAGAGATGCTCTTCTTCCAGCCGGCAGCGGAGGACGTCCATAAGCTCGTGCCTCAGTTTCCGCCGAGCGTTCGCAGAAAGAAGCTCCAGCCTAGAATAAGCTAAGGGCTTATGGTGAAAGGCCTCCCCAAAGAAACTCCTGCCTAGACGAAGTTTAGGGGCCCAACAGGAACCCTAAACCCTAAACCCTAAACCCTAATCATGACAACAATGCGCGCGATCTTCAAGGCAAGGCTCATGCGGCGGACCAACGTGGACATATCCTGCCGGCGGGTCTGGGAACAATCTTGAACGGTTTAGGGTTTAGGGTTTAGGGTTTGTGGCGTTGTTTTTGGCAGATCCTCGTGTCCGGGATGTAAGACTTGGGGCTTTGGAGGTGTGTGTCTGCCTGCATCTTATGTCTGCTGTGCTTTCTATGTGTTGCTCTCTCTCTCTCTCTCGCTCTCTGTCTGTCCGACTCCCTGTGTCATATGTATATACAAATACATACATACATTCATACATACATACATACATACATGCATGCATGCATGCATGCATGCATGCATGCATGCATACATACATTACATGCATATGTTCCCTGGTTATCTCTCTGTCTACATCCGACTGCTGTGATTACACATGGGTCTTCTTTAAGCGTAACTCTAAACACGTCCTCGGTCCATTCTTGCCGCCGTGCGGCACGCGGACCGCGTGGGCGATGCACGCCTCTCCATACTGGACTGCACCAGAACCCCTGAACCAAAAGCATTAAACACCGAACTCCTTGAACTCTAAAGCCTTATACCCCCAAACCATAAACCGTAAAACACCGAAACCCGAACCCACTAAACCCTTAAACCCCGAGGTTAAACTACTCAATCAAGGGTGCAGGTTAGGCTTAAAATTCATGCGGCTCCTGTTCGCCATTAGGCTTTAGGGTTAGTTAAGGGTTCGGTGTACGTGTGGCTCCTTAGGGGGTGCAGGGTGTAGGGTACTTTTATAGTTTAAGGTTTTTTTATGGACCATTAGAGGCTTGAGTCTTTTCGCCCGGGCTTCTTAGTTTGATGCGTGCCAAGCTCATACCAAGAGGCTCATGTGCTCTGCAGACCCAACTCTTAACCCTTAACCCTAAACCCTAAGCCTGAATGACCTACTAAAAGCCCAAGAAAACCTAAACAACTAACGGCTTAAGCTTGATGTTACTCCCCTTCTCCAAGCGTTAACCCGAAGCCCTCCGAGGAAGTAAGTAACAGAGAGGCCCTTGATAATTGGGAATCGGGTATGGGGGCATGTTATTCTACTGCCATAAACTTTTTAGGGACTTTTATTGAGGAATAGACCCTAAACCTTAAATTTTCAGGGACTACTATTAAGGAATAGACCCTAAACCCGAAACACCCACAGACTCTGATCTTAGGGACTACGTACTAGTAGGCAATAGACGCAGAAAAGCCCTAAACCCCTAAACTCCGATCAAACCCTGAACCCAAAACCGTCGCTCAGGCTTCTTACGGTTTAGGGTTTAGGGTGTATTCCGTAATTATAGTTCCTAAGATCCCTAAGTCTATAGGGGTTTAGGGTTTAGGGTTCTTTTCTGGCAATTCAACCCCCAACCCTGCACAAGTAAGTCAACTCTGCACTGGGCTGGCCTAAGGGTCGGTTTGCATAGGTGTTGAGGGTTTTAGGGTGTAGGGCTGCAGGGTTTTAGGGGTTTCGGGTTTTAGGGTATAGGGCTGTAGGGTTTTGGGGTTTCGGGCTTTAGGGTTTTAGGGTTTGGGGGGTTTAGGGTTTAAGGCGTTCGGGTTCAAGGTTCATGTACCCCTGTAGGAAAACTTTGTCCCTAATGTTACCACATAAGAGCCCTTTTTTAAGGGCTGAGCATATAACATTTTAATATTCACTCTACACACCTATCAAACATCCTTATCGTACCTGCACGAAAGCCGAAACACATCCCAGAAAGACCTTTAAACGAGCCAAGGCCAAGCCCTAGAGCCCAAGCCCTGAAACCCTAAAGTCTGTAGCTCCAAACCCCGCAATTATATGACACCTGAAAAATAGGGTATAGCCCTCAAAACAATAGATTCTTGAATCCCCAAGTACCTGAAACCCTAAACCCTGAAAAACCTGCCTAAAACCCTGAACCCCAAACTAAACCCTCTCAGGGTTCCTCAAACCCTACTAAACCCTACTAAACCCTATACCCTAAACCCTAAACCCTAAACCCTAAACCCCTAAACCCCTAAACCCCTAAACCCTAAACCCTAAACCCTAAACCCTATAAACCCTAAACCCTAAATTGCACCAAACTCTGAACTCTGG